ATATATATATATGGCCCCCAATTTCTAAATATGGATTTGAATTTAGGAATTTTATTTTTCAAATTTAAGTTATTCCATCTGTTATTGATTTTATTTTTAAAGTGAATTAATTTGCGATCTCGTCTTCTATAGGAGGAGAGAAAATTGGATTTTTATAATCTCAATTAGACACTGAATTGTTTTATGCTGAGCTAATATTTGTGATTTTTTTTTCTCTTATATGACACCACATAAGACAATGGAGAAAAAGGATTCATATAGCCGACATCACGTAGTGGGATCTAGGCTTTGTTGTTGTTTTATGTTATTTTATATGTGTGGCATATTAAAATATTTATAATGTTAGAGTGATAATTTAACATCGTAATATTGTACGATGATTTAACATAGGTAGATAGATAAAAAAAAAAATATGAGATGAGATATATGAGATGAGATACTTAGATTTTTCTATAAATTCACGAGGATGGATTAATTAAAATAGTTAACTATGTAATTAGGCGTACAATGATCTACCATTCCTTAGATTACAGAAAATTGATTACAAGATGTTTTTGAAATAATAATTGCTTTGAAATAACCCAACATGTATAATTGTTAAGAATAATTGAGATTAAAACTTTTATAGTCTACTTAGAATAGTCGTGTTGGGTAGGTTACGATAGTCGCAATTGGCTATATAAAATGTTGATCATATAAATTGTAGTTGAAGTCTATTATATTTGTAGTAGAGCTAGCCAAGTCATAGTTGGAGGCTATAATAGCTGTAATTATCTTTAAAAGTCATAGTTGTAGGAGATTGTAATGGTCATAGTAGGTCGATCAAAGCCATAGTTGATGATATCCAACAATGGCAGGTAGTCCATGATGATCTCTAGCAGTTGATGACAACTTTTGGTAATAGATAGCGAACTCTGGTGATCAACAGCTATCTTGGGTGACTATTGACAATTGTTGAGATTTTAAGAGTTAAGCTTTAGTAGTCAGCTGGATCTTATCTTTCTATTCTTCCCTTCAAATGAAGAATAAACTCCTATTTATAGTTTGTAATAAGATATTTTGATAAATTTGTTCAATCTTCTAAAACACTCAATCAAATAATTTAAATTGATTCCATTGATCATGTAATTTTTATAACATTTTTGTGTTTGAATGATATAGAGCTTGTTAGATTCTTCTCGTTGAGAAGCTAGATTTAACTATAAGCATGTCAAATTATAGGATCGTTTTGTCTTCTAATTGGTGCACTAAAGCTTTCAACAACACTTATTGTTGGAAATGGGTTTGCTTGTAATCAAACTGTATCATTTTTAATGTCGTTAGATTAGTCTCATCGAGACAAAAAATTATTACGTACGGACTCCGAACGTAGAGATACGTCCAGAGTCCAATGAATTACCTTCACGAGGAGCTGACAGGAAAAAAAAAACTCGTTTTCATGTGATCTGGCACGATAACACATGGTAATATTCCTCTCGTGTTATTCAACGTTATTCATGTGTTATTGTGGTGGTATTGATGTGTTATTGTGTTATAATACCAGAAATATTCTCATAACACAATACTACATGCATATCAACACAATAACACTTGAATAACACAGAATAACACGGGGAGAATATTCCCTTGTGCCAAAACGTTTTTTTTGTCACCTCTACGTGACGTGATTTTATTAAACTACGGACGTATCTCGATGTCTAGAGTTCATACGTAATATTGGTTCCATTGAGACGCTCGATTTTACTATAGATTTATTGCAATTGAGACCCGGATGATCGTAAATGCAAATTCAATCTTTTATTACTCAAACACATCAAGATTCGTGCTTGATGATAAATACTTGCTGATGACACATTAATACATAAAAAAAATTCGGTAAAAAGAAGAAAACAAAATTATTCATAATCTCTCACTTATATATATATATAGATTTACGGTCGTCAATTCTTATGTATTTATACATTTAGCATTTAAATTTTAATTTTTATATGTCATCTTATTTATGCATCAAAATGTGTATTTTATTTTTTAAAATTTAAAATAATCATATTTTTTAATATGATATGAAAGAACTGGATGGAATAAATATAAAAAAGAAAAATGATATAAACACATAGAAATAGGGTGGTATGTATGTAAATGCCTCATAAAAAAACATAGCATAAAAAGTGATTTTTTAAGGAAGAAAAAAATATTTAGTTTCAATAAATAAGAATACTAATCTATATTTTTTAACAAACTAAATTTTTTGACCCAAATCGTATATCATTCCTTATGCTTTAGGTTTCGTTTTTTTTTTCTGCTTTTTATCTGCTGAGCAATATCTGGATTATTTTTAAAATAATACTCTACAAACATAATATTTACATTCTAAAATTTTTTTTAAAAAAATTTGTGTTATGGTATGGCTCATATACCATATAGGGACAGATGATGGATTGAAGCGGATCGGAAAAATCTGTCCAAATTGGGAAGTTACGTGGGTTGGGATGCGGGGGCAAAACCCCGCGGTATAGTACAAGGGTAATGTTGTAATTACATATTGTGCCTAAGGTTTACTCCTGGGGTTATAAATAGGTCTGTTAGTAACCCCAGGAGACATCCTCTATTCTGTAAACTCTTTTCTGAATATTGAAAGGAACTCGCCGCTCTGCTCCCGAGGGCGTATGCATATTTTCCGAACCTCGTTAAATCTCTGTGTTCTTCTGGATTTGTGTCGTTCTAGTTTTTCTTCACCGTAATTTTCTCAACAATTTGTAAATTCAATAACAATATAAGTGAAATTTGGTAGTTCTAGAAAGCTTAAAATCATAAACTAAACTACAATTTTTATCCTTTGCCATGCTTAACCATCAAAATTTTTACAAAAGTAACTAAAATTAATCTAATTCCAATTCAAATACTATTATAATCATTTCATAAATATTTTTTCTAATCACCGTACCCCCAAAAAGATGAAGATTTCAACAGAACAGCAAAGTCCTCTTCGCCCATTTCCCAATACTAACACACAGTAATTCTAATATAAAAATACTAAACGACACCACAATGCAAACTAAAAGCACTTTTAACTCATAATCAAACAGTATCGGCGACAGCAAACCAACCCCTCAATTTTTCAGCTCCTTCTTCTCCTTCTCCTCCCCCTCTAGCTCAAAAGCAGATACAGGGAAGGTTCGAGAAAGCCCCGCCGGAGTCTTGAACGAAATCTTCCCAGACGCAGGATCGTCAATATACATTTCACAGAGAGTGATCCAAATAAGAATCTCCTTACTCTTAACTCCGGTGATCTTCTTCATGCGGCGATCCTCCACAAAAGCGGTGATCTCCGGAGCGTAGGAGACGAGCCGCCCGATTTTCTTGAAGGTGTGATCGACGCGCTTCTTCTGCTTGAGCCAGACGAAGCCGGTTTCTTGATTGTAGCCTACTTCCTCGAGCTCGTTGAGTGGAAGAAGGCCGTTGGGGAGGTGCACTCGCTCGAGAAGCTCGATTGATTTCCTACTGCAGAGCTCTGCACCATGGTATATTTCGGCGTTCTCACGATGAGCGTCGATTGAATGAACAGTCGACATGGATTAGGTTTAGGGTTTGCTCGGGTGCTGCTCTGAGTTGCAGAGATTGAATTGGGGAGAGCGCTGTGTGAAATGTTCGAGGTGAGAGGGGGTATTTGTACGTGGAAAGTGAGTTGTGATTACCAAAATGTCCCTGCATTTGAGTGGGAATTACGTGGCCTTCTGGGATACGAAAGAGGTGGCGGCTTAAGAGGACACGCAGGTGGTGATGACCATTAATTGCGGGGAGTAAAATTAAATCAGTGGATTTTTAAATTCCAAAATTAAAAAAATGGTCCCCTATCCATAAATATACATATCTAAGTCTTAAATTTTTATATTTATATCTATAATATTTTAGTATCATAAATTTGTACATAAAAATGAATATATAAGTGTTAAAATGTAAGTAATATTTTTATGTGATATTAAAGATTTATATATCATGCACAACAACAATAACAAGTCTATATATTCATGGGTCCTTTTCTAGATTGTGTCCTATTGAGTTTCAAATTTTCATTTCATTCTAGTAAATTAAAATTATTTTTATATAGCACGCCCAATTCTTTTTAGGTCTACTTTCACCTTTCTTACCATAAGTCATCTAAAATTTCTACTCTCCAAAAATGATCATTAGATGATTTGACTTTTAATGTTAACAAACCATATATGATGTCTCTCTCTAATCTTGTTTGTCATTGAAGCTACATAGGGATAAAAAGTTGACCCGACATGTCAACATGACTTGAACTCAATTTGAAAAAATATGGGTTAATGTTGACCTGAATATTTTACAAGTCTGGTTTGGATCAGAGAATTCAACTCGTTTATTATTTGGTTCAGGTTCAGTCTGAACATGAAAACCCAAATGACTCAAATAAGCACAAAAGTTTGGGTCAGTTTATTGGATCAAGCTCGAGTTTGGGTTACTGGGTCTAGCTGGGGTTCAGGTTGACCCTATTCGTTATGGTCATTTTCGGGTTAGACCCGAACTTGACCCGTTGACCTGAATTGATACCCATAGAGCTACACCACCACTTTCACAGATATATTTGTTTCACATTTTGTATCTAAGTGTAAAGCCACTAATCCAACTAAGGCTTCTTGTCTCAGCAACGTCACTAACTTACTTTAATGCTTCTCTTTTGAGTGTCATGCACAAGGGTTTAAAAATTGGATTGAACCGACCCATTTTACCACAAACTGATCCTAGGGCTAGTTTTGGTTCGGCTATAACCCTTTTTCTGCATTAGATTGCCCAGAAACCCATTGAATCACCGGTTCAACTGCCAAACTGGAGAACTGGGGCCGATTTCAATGACTCGTTCGATCTAAGTTTCGTGATATATGAAAGGTGAAATCCGTAAGAGCCTTAACATATATTTGATTGCATTCCTCTCTCGAGTTTGCAAGTCATTTGACCTTCCATTATCAGGCACACCTCAGTCGTTCACCATTGGTTTGTTGCTTGTTCACTTGAGTCTCACAACTTATTCGCCAGCTAGATGTATGTCATGTTGGTTCTGCACTTTGCACTTTGATTTGGGCCATCCAATGAAATACCCAATATTTTTACATATGGAATCATCCACAATACTTGAGCTTGTACTTTATTAATTGATGTTTTATGATTAAATTGGTATCAGAGTAATAGTGTTTGGAGGAATTGATTAAGTACAGAGCCATATGATTAATTATGATATGAGTAGAATAACTCGATAGTCTAAGAATTTTATTTATTTATTTATGCTTGCATGTGCATTATTTGAGTTTTTATATATGATTATTTTGGTTTGAGAGTGTTTTGGTTAAGATCATTTAGATTCTCATGAACAAGAGATAACTAATGGGCAGAATTCTAGTGAGCAACTACCTATGCAGAGTACTATGGGAGCTATGACATTAGACTCTATGTTACTATTTGCTAGTTTAGTAGCTTAGCTGATGGGAGATGTATATAAAAGGATGTCCATACGTAAGGCAACTGAATGTGATAAACATTTATAGATGTTTCATAAATTGAAGCCTCCACTTTTTAAGGGCGTTGTAGAGCCCTAGATAACAGAGGATTGGTTATTATGGATAGAGAAGATCTTTGATGGCATGCAGTATCTAGATAATCATAAGGTACCATTGGTTGTATTTTTATTCGAAGGAGAAGCAAAGTGCTAGACGAGCAACAAGAAAAGTTTCAAGGTAGGATAACAAATGCAAGAGACTTTAATGAGATTAATGCAGGAGAGTAAGATGGCCATGCAATATAAGGTTGAATTTTCTGCATTGGCAACAATGCATCTTTTTTGCCATTCTCGATGTCACACTCTCTTGTATATGTTTCCTTCTAAAAGGTTAATCATTCAAATAATAGGGTTTTTATTTTATATTTCATACATAACTTTTTTAACTACACATATTATATTATTATATCATTTATGTCATTTATAAATAAATTTATCATTTTTTATGTCATCCAGTTGAATCTCTGGTTCAACTACAAGTCACCCATTAAACTTTGAACCTCTTATTATATTGTTTAATATTTGATATAACTTTTAAAACCATGGTCATGTATATAAATATGAAAGTTAGACATGAGAAATGTAAATACATAAAAATTATATGATATTTAAATATCTCTTTAATTAAATGATTGCTTTCTTTTCTATGAAAATATTGAACAAACAATTTATAATCATATAATTTTGAATATGTAATCTTTCAAAAATATGTAAAATTGTGCTCGTTGTTGTGTGTGTCGTTACAAAATAGCGCTGCAGCAACGCACGGGCCTGCACCACTGTCATGCGTTCATCAGCCTGTCTGCATGATTCGCTGGTCTGTGTGGCACGTCACCGCCCACTGGCACTAAAAACCTTCAAATTTTTAAGTTTTTTAGAATTTCCCCTGATTTCATAATTTTGATAATTCTTCATATGAGTAAGATAATCACACATAAATTTTGGAGCGAGTGATACGTCAACAAATTTAATCATTTGACATGAATATCAAGACGTTAAAAAGAATCTTAGAGCATGTTTTAACTATAAACAATTAAACTCAAATTAAAGATCATGTAAAAATATGATTTTATCCGACTTACTTTCAAACTGACCAGAATGATGAGACAAACACAATAACATTAAAATTGGTCCAGTCTGAGTCAAATTAAGCCCAAATCAAGTCATTATAACACATTTGGAAAACTTATGTTATTAATTGGAGTTTCAAACAAATTTCAAATCCGACAAACTTATAATCATATCAAGCATCTCGATGAGACGGATCGAACAAGGCCAAAATGACTCATTTCTGACATCATTAAGACACAAAAATGTTCATAAAATGTTGTTTGATCATGAGAATATCTCTGGGTCGTCTTATGGAGTGATCCAAATTCCTTCTTTACTTATAGGAAGGCAACTTCGAGGCTTTATAAATAGAGTCTTGTTTCCTTCATGAAGAGGGGAGACCTAGAGCTAGACATGGTCCTGAAGAAGAAGAGAAGGAGTCAATTTCTAAAGTTGTTATGGACCAAAGATCTAGATACGCTTTCAGCTTCTACAGCACCGATCACCATAAACCACTACTCTTTGATTACCATCAATTATCATCAGTCACTTGCTACCCATCACCATCAGTGGATCTAGTGATGTAATGATATACCCTAAAGATGGTGTAACAACACGTCCTAAATACAGTGTAACGACAGACCCTGAATCCAATGCAACAACTTGCCCTCAACACAAGATAACAATTAATGTTGTATTTAAGATCCAAAAACAACTTCTAATGACGATTATTTACGACCACCATACCCAAGATATGGTAACTTCCTCTAGATTCCTGAAGTTCTCTCCTCGTAACTCCTCACTATGGTCTATGTGACCAATTGATGTTATTATAACTCACCTATGTGATGAACAACAGCCTATGTGGCTCGTGGCTCACATAACTCCCAACTCTGGCCTCTGTGGCCATGAATATTACTGCACCTTCCAGCTTTGGTCTCTACAATTTATGGATGTTATTGTAGATCACCACTATGATTTATGTGACCAATTACAACCTATGTGACCCACAACTTATGCAGCTCCCAACTCCAGCCTTTGTAGCCTACGGACATTATTAAAACTTACCATTACAACATATGTGATCAATTATGACTTATGTGACTATTTCTGACCTACGTGGTTCACTACTTATAAAACTCCAAACTCTGACGTCTATGGCCTACGGACGTTCTTGCATTTTACCATTACATCCTATGTGACCTAATACATCTTACATGGTTCACGACACTTGTATCTCCCTACTAAGAGCTTTGTGGCCAACTGCACTTCTAAAGCAATCATCCACGACCTACATGACCACCTAATATCATAATTTTCAACTACGACCTATACAACTAGTTGACGTTACAACTTCGTCTACCACATTCGTGGGGGGTCTATCACCTTCATAACAATCGACTACAACATTTGCGACAAGTTGTAATTATTATTGTTGAACTACTGTCGTACATCAATATCATTCGCCTTGCATGTTCAGTTGACTTGATTGAATTAGAAGCATCAATACAACAAATTTGTCTTATCAAATTAACAAAAGATTAGATTTCATCAAAATTTAAAAATTGACTCGGGAGATCATATTTGAAAAATCTCATATATATACCAAAAAAAAATTAAAATTTTATATCTTTATTTTATGAGAAATTTTTGCTATGCTATATTATGTAATTCTTTTTTCAAAAAATATAGCATATAAATAGTAGGTTGGAGGACGGACCAATGATCTTAGAAATTCGCAATTAATGTGTGTTCAAATTTGAATCACCTCGTTAGAGGGAAAACTCTCTACCAACTCTTCCATAGACCTTGCACAAGTGCCCTTATTTGGTTACTGGCCCATTCTCTTTAGCCGCCATCTATATCAAATTAAAGGGGAATTTACATACATAACATCCAATTCTTATTTATTTATATATCCAACATCTAAACATAGCTTTATACATTTCTAGCACTTAAATCCTTTGGGTCACATCAAAATTATCACTTTTTATTTTTAAGTTAAA